CGCTTAAGCACGAGAAAGCGCGCAAGGTGCGCGTGTGGGAATGCTGCGCGTTGTGCGGGAAAGTACCGCGCCTATGGCGCGTTTCGTGGGAAAGCTGCGCGTTATGTGTAAAACGACTAGGGACATGATAGAAGTTGAATATAGCTGATGGTGCGAGGTTGTGCATTGAAGGCCAATTGTCATGAGTTGTGAAAAGGTGCGAAATGTGCCTATATGTGCCTGCAGAAACGCGAGTCTCTACACCGACTACCGAGTCTTGAAACCCGAGTCCCGACAATCGACTCCTGAAGCCCGAGATGTGAGTTGCCGACCATCAAGTATCGAGTCCCTATTATCGAGACCCGAAACACGAAGCCCGAAGCCCGAGATTCGACACTCAAAATAAATCGAAACAAAACTCAAAACATGACACTCATCAATTTTGGGAGTTGTTTTCTTGAATCACCGAGTACTGGGTACCGTGTACCGAACCCTGAAACCCGGTACTCGGTAGTTGGTGAAATCGAATATCAAGTCCCGACTATCAAGTACCGGGTACCGTGTACCAAAACCCGAAACCCGGTACTCGGTAGTCGGTGAAATCGAATAATCGAGTCCCAACTATCAAGTACCGGGTACCGTGTACCAAAACCCGAAACCCGGTACTCGGTAGTCGGTGAAATCGAATATCGAGTCCCAACTATCAAGTACCGGGTACCGTGTACCAAAACCCGAAACCCGGTACTCAGTAGTCGGTGAAATGTGTACAACATCACTATGGAATATACTCGAATATCGAGTCCCGACTATCAAGACCTGAAACCCGAATGTTGAGTATGGAGTGCCTGACATTTAGTATCATGTATTTGAAGGTGGGGTACTAACACGGGTAACTACCTTTCTACTTCTTCCAATCCAACCTTGCCCATCCACACGACGGAATCCCAGCATAAACATGAACAGCATCCCTCATATACCATGCCCAGGCAATCCGATCCCCTTCCACTGCATGAACCGCGTGTCTGACAATCCTTCCCGAAAATGCAACCATGCACCCCGGATCGTACCTTAACTCCAGCTGCAGGCTTGGCATACTCATCCGAGCATTAGAATAATTCCCCATGCTAGTGAGAATATCGAAGCATTCAGAAATTGATGAGGGGTCTCGATGATTCGGGGTTTCCCGATTGCATATGACGGTGAGGCTGTTAAACACCGTTGCCCAGTACTGGAGAGTCTCTGACATCTTCGGCAGTTCCTTGCTTCGTGCCTTTTCTCCGAGGCTCACAAAGGCTTGCAACCCTGCCCAGTACTGCTCAGGATGCATCACCCTGAGTGCCGCTGTGGGCAATGGCTGCTGGCCTTGCAATGGCTTTGAGGATGTTCTCGGAGGATGGTCCCTTCAATGATGCAGATACCTCCGGATCGGACTGATTCTATGGGATTGGTGAGTTTAACTACCGAGATCGCCATCTCATCAGATCCTACCTCGTGCCCCTGCTGAAACCATGCCGGAGATAAATTAACGCATCCGGGAGTTAGGACATCATTTTCCGAGCTTGGTGTGAACCACTGTTGATTAGTCCGCCAAATCCCATCGAGCTTTATGCTTTGTTCGAGCATGGGAGCTAGCAAATCCGAGGCCGCCCAAATTTCATTCTGTACGTACCATTTGATGTTCAATATCCATCCAGTCACAATATATATAACACACCTGGGTGGCATCGGTCAAGGCGTCTGGGAGGTACCATGCGATGATGGCACCGGATGCATCAAGAATTGTCGCGGGTATGTCGATCAACTTTGTGCCCTCATGGCCAGGAGGACACCTCTTGAGCAACTTTTCCTCTCTCTCTTCATTACGCCCCATGTCCTTTGGGGAGATCAATTTGCTATATCTTGCAATATCAATCGGCATCTGAACTGTGATGAAGCAATTTGACTGATAAAACGAATTTTCCGAATCTGCAGGAAGACTCACTGGGATTTTTATATGCCTTTATGAGCCGATCAACCAATTGATCACAAGCCATCACCAGATCAGTGTCTAGGTTTGGAGAAGGTATAACTGGGTCTCCTCCTGTCTTCTCTGCATTGAATTTCTGTTCCGTATAATCACATGCCACATGAGTGACAGTCAGGGCCCAAGTGCGCAAGAGGGTTATTTCATCATCAGAAGTGGAAGAAACATCCATGATTGAATTGATCTTGTGAGATCAGAAGCTGAATCCTGAATGTCCGCACTTTGGTGTTAAAGGGGGTGGAGATTGAGAGGATCAGATAAGGGAGCCTTGGATGATCTGAGCTTTCAAAGATCTATTTCTCTTATCATCTATTGCTCAATGAAATACCACATGATTGGAAGTCTGTTGGATGTCAGATACTCGTTTGTCAAGACCCGGGCCTCGGATCTCAGTACACTTCACTCGATTTTGATACCCGGGACACCATAGTTGGAACTTGTCTCGAATCTCGGGTCTCGGGTCTCGGGCGTCGGGTCTCGGGTCTCGATGGTCGGGACTCAATATACGGGACTCGTTGGTCGGGACTCGATACTCGATTGTCGGGATTCAATGGTCAGTCGTCGGGTTTCATGACTCGGTAGTCGGGACTCGATAGTCGGGACTCGATGGTCGATTTTCGGGATTTGATAGTTGGGGCTCAGATATTGGTACACTTCACTCAATTTTCGGTGGTCGGAACTTGGCATTTGGCATTTGGTAGGCTTGGATGATGTTGGCTTTCAAAGATCTATTATCATCCATTGCTCAATGAGATACCAGATGATCGGAAGTGTGCTGGACATCACATATTTGTTTGTTGAGACCCGGGTCTCGGAACTCGGTACACTTCGCTCGAGTTTCCACTTCACCCCTTTGCAAAGCTCCGTGCCATACCACATCATTAGATGACTTTGAATAATCACCTCCTTTGATTTGGATGATATACAACTAGCTGAGCTCCATCATGTCTACAATTATCATTCTCCTGGGCCCACCCGTCTATCTTATATACCCCCACGTCGGCCTACCCATCTATGCAATATATGTCTCCCGTCGGCCCCACCTGTATATAATACATCTTTTACCACTCCCTCGGCCCACCCGTCTACAAAATAATATTAATTCGTCGGCCCACCCGTCTAATATGATATATATCTGGGCCCACCTGTCTATGTGATAACAAGCACCCTTGATATACCCGGCTATTTGATACATATCTACCTTGGTACACCCATCTACATAATATCCAACTACCTCGGCCGATCCGTCTATTGAAAATTCATGTCCATCGGCCCACCCATCTACTTTACATATTCCCCACCTGGGCCCACCCGTCTCCATCGGGATAATAACACTCCCGGCCCATCCGTCACAGTCGAGGATATATCTACCCTCGGCCCATGGTCCGCTGGCCCGTATCATACGGGATATTATGCACGTCCGTCCACTCGTATAATACGGAGATATGTTACTGCAATATGTGCTGGAACATAGTTTCTTACCTTGACTTGGAGTACCTTCTCCACTCTCTTTTCTTGAGCGTGAGCCTAGTCAGAGATCCTTTAGGGTCGAACGTTCTTGCTAGCAAGAGTAGCAGCTAGGAGAGCAGGAGACTCATATATATTGGTTGGTGCTTTTTACCTACAGCCCAGCCATATCTTGTCATCACAGTGTGGGCCGCAGCTTACTTGGGCCCAAGCCCCCGGCTTGGGCTCATGGCTCAGGCTCTAAATTTCTCAAGCCTGGGCCGCTCCAAGTCTAAGTTGCGGCTTTGAGCCCAAGCGGGCCGGAACATCACTAGGCCGCTGCTGCAACCCGGCCCGAAGGTGCTGTTGATGTTGCACAAAGCGCCGCTGCACCATCAGAGGAGCGGATCTCAGAGAAGGTGGGTCTTTCAAGTCTGGAGATGCATGATTGACAAGAACAATAAACCCCCCACAGGCTCACGAAGCAGATGTCGGACGTGCAGAAGTAGATGCAGACATGACGAGGTGAAGTGAGAAATGGATATTCTAAGATTGAGGGGACTGTGGTTCCTGTTGTACCTATTGCATAATGCCTCTGCACAATGTTGGCTTGGTCTGGAGATTGTGGCTTTCAGTATGACTGATTATATGTATCTTCGACAGTATGGAGGTGTGATTATCTAATGGTCTGTTAGAACTGCTCTTTTAGCAGACATATAACCTGCAAGTCTCATACAATGTTAGTTGGACTGTCTGTTGTCTTGATAATCCCTGATTCTCTTGTTAGTATTGATGTTCCTAATACCAGATGGTATGGGTCTTTGCATACATGAGAGCATAATATATTGACATCCTGTTCTATCTGATGTGTCCGCTATTCCTGTTGGTTGGGTGGACAGATGGCTCTGCTCTGCCTGCTAATCCAGGTATATGATGGTATCAGTACCTGAGTGCTCTGATTGGGCTGTTGGTATTGATATTTTGACAAACAGATAGCCTGTTCCATCTGATAGTACGGACTCAGGACTCAATGATAATATGATAGGTCTGTTTGTATTGGTGTTCTGATGAAATATATGTCTGTCTTTCCTGAGTGATCTGTCTGGTCTGATCTCAGGCATACAGTATATCATACTCTGAGGTCAGCAGCTTATCATGGCTAACAGACCATACAGGTCAATCAGGGAAATGCCAGGTTTCCTGATGTGTGTCATATACCATATATCCGGTTACAGATCCGATGATCCGGATCTCAGATCTGATCCAGATCCGATGAACATATCTGTCGTCCGGTCCACAGATCCACTTTGATTCTTATTTCATTTCCTGTTCATGTAACTCTAACTATCGTTCATCTCCTTTTGGTATTCCTGTACACCGGTATACCGGTTATCCTTTACTTCCGCTTTGCTTACTGATCCGCTATACTTACGAATCCACTTTTACTTGTACTTCATTCCCGGTTCATGATTCGTGATCCATCCGACTTACCAATACGCTCCACTTAGACTTTGCTTATACTTTCGTACATAGCCTCGCACCTTTGCTTATTGATCATTCCGTTAGCTATCCGTAGTATATAAACCTTTGTATATGCGCTGTAGTAGATCAGTTCGAATATCATCTTAGATTGCACTCATTCCGTCCGGACTCTAAGTCCCTCCGTTATCCGTCTGGACTTGAGTACACTACTCTTGTCTACTCCGAGACTTAGGATAGACTCCTATAGTCTACATATCCACCTCTGTCTTCGGACAGTCCTCACCCGTTAGTTTCTAGTCCGGATCCGATCCGGATTAGCCGTTACTCTATACGTTCGATATCCGGAAGTCTTAACGGATCCGTTGCAATACTTATCCGTTGCGATACAAGACTTATCCGTTACAATACTTATCCGTCTCACTAGACGCGATACTTTAGCTCTCTGAAATAAGGGGCAAGACTCGGGAAAGGGGCACAGCACACGAGCTGAGGCCGAAGCCCTTCGGATCCGATACTACTTGAGTATGGTCTTAACAGATGTGACTTTGTGCTCCAATGTTGCACAGTCCTGTCGTCTGAGACAGTTGCAATGAAGGAACCATCAGAAGAGATGGCGAGCAAGTTAATGTCAGAAGTGTGACTAGTGCAAGGTTGACCAATCTGGTATCCATTTGAGGAGTCCCAGAACTTGACTTTTTTGTCGTATGATGCAGAGACAAGTTGCTGGCCATCAGGCGACCATGCAACACTGAGAACCCAATTTTCATGAGCGTTGATCTTGAAAACAAGTTCGGCGTTATCTGTGCGCCAAATCTGGATGGTACGCAATGATCCAGATGCTAATGTTAGACCATCTGGATTGAATGTGACACTCGACACCCCGCCCAGATGACCCTGGAGTGTTGAGAGGGCAGTGCCAGTCTCTGTATCCCAATTAATCACTGTCGAATCATATGACCCACTTGTGAGTCTCTTGCCATCGGGGAGAAGCACACCAAAGACACCCATTTTGTATGCTTTGCCAGCGGATCGAATACCATCTTCTTGCTCTCCACATCCCAGATGATGATGGTGTTATCTTTTCCACCGCTCGCAATTCGCCTGTCGTCTGGCGATACCGCAACTGAAAACACCTTGTTACTGTGTCCCACGAATGGCCCCCCTACCACTGCTCCTTTCTGTATGTTACAAATACGCAGGGTGCAGTCCCAAGAACCAGTAACAACCCATCTGCCATCTTTGAAGAATGCGACTACCAATACTTTGTCCACGTGCAATCACATCGTTTGCATTGGCGCCAGCATCACTCTTCTCACATTATGATGCTTTTTCCTTGTTTGCTACATCAAGTAGTCCTGACATGTCATAATGGCCTAGACAGGGAGACAGACAGTCCAGTGATATTTCAAGTTTATGAGGAGCATACCTTATATTGTCAATTCTATGTGTCGTGAGTAGAGTTGGATTTCTGCCCACTTGAAACTCATATCATGTAGGCGCTTATCCAGCCAGGCTCTTGTTCAGATCCGCACCCATCAAGTTACTAAGTAATTACACCTCGGCCTCACTAGACCACACTGTCACTGTGGGGGGGTCTCACTTCTTTATATAACCACAGTTCCACGGGCACCTGTATTTTCCAGTCAAGTCATTATGATTTTTGATCAGAACAGTAGTATCCTTAAGTCCGTTTCGTACAATGTGGTCAGCTGAGTTTGCTGGTTTGAACGGGAACCGTGCCGTGTGCAAGCATGTGACACTCTGAACTACCTCTGCCGACATCTCCTTCATACCTACTACCCGTATAAATTTAAGGACAGTAATGTTCAGGGGTAAGCGAGTCATCACACATGCTGTGATTGAAAAGGTCGAAAGTAAAGTCATAGAGGCTAGCGAGTACCGTTGCGCGTGGACTGCACTAAACAGTCTATGTGATCTACTTGTAGAGCATAGCTTGTACCACCTTTTGTAATGAACACTATATGACCAGACAGGGGGACCGCCTCAGTATCTCAGAAAAGTGACCCTTCACACTTGCATGATATTAATGTTGTGAATATGATAAATCCATGCATGATCATGCAATTTACTATGTAGTGGTGCCGAAAAAATAGGTGGCATAAAGAAATAGGTAGTGCAGAAACCAGTTTATTATTGGCTACTTCAACTCTCTGCTGTCAAAAGAAAATGAAGGAGAGCGTCTCAGAGAGACGTGTCAAAAAATATTTGCCACCAATAGTCACAATAATTGATAGGAACTCAGGCCACCCAAACTAACGGTGATAAGGATGTGATTAAATGGCTCAATGTACAACTTACATGCGACAGCGATGACCAAGTAGAGGGTAATAAGCATAAGACTTCCTTTTCCATCCCTGGGGCATGTGAGTTAAGTCTCGATGAGAGGGAAACTGACATGAGTAATATGTTGACCAGGAATTCAGAAATAAAGAAGACGATTGTCTGAATTTGTTAGCAAGTTAAATAATGAGACAGATTATGTTCCGAATAAACAGACCTCGAAGTCATGGAAGTGCAATGTCAGGGCTTGGTCGACGCTAACAAAAAGGACAGTGAGAACAACACCTCAAGAGATGCAATACATGATCATACATCCAACTGACAATTGCAAGAAGTGACACTACGAGGCAGGCAATTTGCTGCCCAATAGCCAGTACAAACACGATCTCATAATGAACAGTCAAACACTCACAATCGAATTCCCAATGCAAAATGGGTGATGATGAGCTCGTATCTGTTCTTTGTTGCGATCCAGGCTGAAGTGACATGTTCTGCAGTATTGCCAATGAAGGCCTTCGAGATGGAATAGCGGACTGCAGTTTCCTCAATGGATGCAATCACTGGTACAATTGAACATGGGATCAAGGGAACAGCGTGGGACACTCACGATACTCAGCACAAAATGCAATGACCACAGTTACCGATAAAAGTCTAATGAACGACAGTGAACACCCTGCGTAGCATATGACGAGACCAAACTTACACAATACCAGTAACGGCCATTCCCATGTGAGAATCTGTTTCCTCTGTCACTGCCGATGACACCATTTCCTCACTGTTTTGTTCATCCTTAGGTGGAGAAAGCGCAGTGAAGAGATTTGGACTCGAATTCTAACTGAACCCTTGAATGAGTGCATTAAAGAATAAGATATTAGAACATGCCTGAAATCAAAAGCTACAGTAAAGTCCAAGGAGCAATATGGCAGTTTCTCTGGAGATAAAGAGTGGGCCCATGGTGGGGCATTCATCAGGGGCAATAATTCTGCATTCCAGCATCTGTGGTACTTGTATAGGCCTTGGGAATAACAAGCGCTGTAGAACATGAGCGAAACTCTTAAGTTAAAGATATAGGTACCTATGCACGACAAAGTCATAAGCTAGAATTGGTTAGTTATCACTTTGATGAATAAGTCAGCTAACTTATGGAAGCAGATCTAAAAATGATTGCAATTCAACTGAGGATTTAAATGGCAGAAGAACAGACGCACGCCTGAGCTCCAGCACCATTGGAAGATTCTTGTGTATGATATAATCCACCTATACCGAGTGAGTGTATACTATCCTTCAATGTAGAGGTCCCTTACCGGCGAGAAACAAATAACCAAGGATGGGAAATGTGTTTGACAAGATCGATCCAAGCATCTAACTCGAGGTCAATATATCCCAAATAGTGGCCATATGAAGGCACTCACAGACGTCTGAACAATTCTTGATTGACCCAGGATCATCGCCAGTTGTGAATAACTTCAGAGTGGTGGACAGATCATTGAGTAAAGCAGCAACACCGACGACATAAAACTAAACAAACACGTGAGGTCAACGTCCCAGTCCATGTTCTGGGATATGAAGTCCAAAGGTATGAATATGAGTAGGATATTGACCACGTCCTGAAAATAAAGAACTTGAATGACTCTGGGCACGATGGCTCACCCTCACCATCAATGAAATTGACAATGCAGTGAGTGACTCAGAGAGGTTTCTACGACCTGTATGGCCACCATTGTCAAGTAGCAGTGTGAATTCCGACAAGGATAATTGAGGGATGCGCTTCACATTGCAAATTTCGAACATTCTGCAAGAAACTACTTTTATATGTATACCAAGTATTACCAACTGTGACACACCGTTGAGGTAATAAACAGATGATGACAGAACATCCACGATGACATGACGTTGTTCCTTCAAAGCAGTTTCTGCCTCTCAGATCTCAGCAGCAGCAATTGTCGATTGGCTTTTGCACAATCTGAACTGCTTGCGCTTCGAGGAGTCTGCCCAGCATTTGCTGTTGGAAGTCTTGCACAAGCCTGAGTGAAAAGGCAAGATAAGTTCAGAATAGTACAAGAGGACGAGAGTAAGGTTATATTATGCAAGTGTCACGGTCACTGTGGTGGTATAACCGTAAGCGCTGAGCATTTGCAAAACATTGTACATAATTGACAAACCTTCGAGTCAGGCTCTCGTAAAGTTGCACATTGGGTTTCTAAACAGACACAAGGAAATTTGCATCAGCGCCAACAGTCTTTGAGGTTCTAGGATCTTGAGCAGTAAGTAGTAGCCCCACTGGCAGTTTATTTCTTTACAACCAATAAAGTATATGTCAAGTGATCTCGGAGTGAATCCTGTGTGAATATAGTTATTTTTAGAGCAAGTCACGAGAGCTAGAGCGCTAAGGTCACCAAGGTGTGAACTTTGCAGAATTGACCGTTGATACGGCGCTTCCGAAGTGTCCATGTTGCATGCGAGGAGTACGTAAGAAATAAAGAAAACCCTTCAACAAAATCTCTTCACTTCGTTGACCTTGCAGGGTTCTGGACCAAGTACTCACGCCATGGTCCTCTTGTGTTTGCATGTAAGAATCCTTGCCACTTCACTGGCCCTTTTCTGTGCAGGAATGGTGAAAGCATCTCCAAGTTTGCCTCACCGTGGTATGTATTGTCCTAGACACTTAAACGAATCATGTATACACTCAGATTCTACCAGCATCTTCAAGACAGGCGGAATTTCCAGCGGTCGATGTGACCTCTCATCTCAACCCGTATCCTGATAAACCACGTATCACCTTCAGTTCTTCTGGGACTTTTAAACTGACCGTATTCTCGGATCTCCATTATGGCGAAAATCCCTGGGATGATTGGGGACCTCAACAGGATGTTAATAGCACACGCTTAATGCGCGGTGTACTGGCTGCTGAGAAGCCTGACTACGTGTATGGATTTTGTTCACTTTCCTCCAAGTTGGATGTTAGTAACGACACAACATCTCCAGCGTACTGAATGGTGATTTAATCACTGGCGAAGGTGCGCTCAAATTGACTTGGGCTGATTGTTAGCCCTACTTATTTCACATAGATACATTTCGGGAGAATTCCACCACTCTCATCGACCGCATAGTGGCTCCTCTAAATGAAGCAAAGATCCCCTTCTCTTCTACATATGGGGTGAGTCTATTTTTATATGAATCGTTCCTAGGGATGTACATGACGAAAATAATGTTTGTTAGAATCATGACAATGAGGCAAACATCACACATCTTGAAGAAATACGACGGGAGCAGCTCGATAGTTATCTAAGCTACACTCGCACCGCACCACCTGGTATTGGAGGGGAGGGGAGGGGAGGGCAATTATTGGGTTCCAGTATGTTATTGAAGTGTGACTTTTCAATCGGGATTATTGACTGTACAAATGATTGTTTATCTGTAGGTCTACGAAAAAGCGACAGGTGCCTATCAAAGCATAGGAGCGTTCGTCGTTACTTACCTTCCTATTTTGTTTCCAGATCTGACGCCTGCTTTGATCCTGTGGTTTTTTGATTCTCGAGGTATACTCCTACCTTCTGCCAGGGAGTCTTTGGTCGATTCACTGACGTCCTTCGACTGCCAGGTGGTTGGTCCCCAGGATCCACATCTGTGCCACTACCCCGACTGGGTGGACGCCTCTGTAGCAGGATGGATTGAGCGCGAGATAGCTGCAATGGAAGCTGGGTGGGATTCAGTAGAAAGGAGAGAGCGAGGAGCTTTAGCCTTCGTACATATACCTCCGTAAGTGGGTTTTATTCAATTACCATGTCCTCATTCTGAAATACACAATGAAAGACATGCAATCGAGAGTGTGCAAAAGACACTGAACACCACAGCAAACCCAGGACTAAATGGTGAGTGAAATCGAATGTGTTTGACATCGTTCAGTTGCTCACTTCTATGGATTGTTTTCAGCCGATACTCTATCCCAGGGATCAACACAGGCTACTACTGACCCGTCATCAGGCGGAAAAAGACCAACCGTTCTGGGATGCGTTAAATGCCAACGTCAAGAACCTACACGCAGTGATCTCCGGGCACGGTAAGTTCGCAGATTTGCAACTTTTGTCTTGTCGCTTATCATATGGCTGTGTGCTTTCTTCACAGATCATGGCGACGAGTGGTGCGCCCGTGAGCCTACGAAGGATGTTATATTTTGTTTTGACAAGCACTCTGGGTATGTGATCTTCACCTGACCCGTTCAGTTCAGTGCATGCTCATCATCTACTCCATCTTCTCTCATTGCATGCATGATGTCTCAGATACGGTGGCTACAGTAGCCCAGGATGGGGCCACGGTGTACGGAATATCGTGTTCCCCTCTGCAGATCCTACTAGTGGGCTTGAAACGTGGATCTGGCTCGAGGGCGGACAGACGAGGGCAAGAGTTACACTGGACGGGAACTATGGTCGATGATTTGCGATTCGGTGACCCACGTTTGCTGTATACACACTTGCCTATGGGAGTTATCACAGCATCACGCACGTTTACACGCTTTGGACAAGAGCAGTTCACGTAGATCCCAAGTGATAGTTGATGCCATGCACCCTTCAACATTAGAAATTATTATATTTTCTTAACATGATCAAAATTAATATTCATTTGTGGATTGCAGTCCAAAGCAATGTTGCACACTGTCGAGGACTCTCCACTACAATAATTAATAGCATTGGCCAGGAGCTCAAGACTCAGCCATGCTCTCCAATGAATTATCAGAGGCCTGCTGGACCCACATATTATGATACAAACCGCCTAGGCGTAATAATTCCTCATGAGTGCCCTTTTCCGCAACCTGGCCATCCTTAAGCACGATAATTAAATCTACGATCCAGCCATCAGTATGCCTGAGAAAAAATAGAGTGTGGCTGAGGTTCACCTGCTTCAACCACGGTGCGGAGTCTATGAGCAATAAATATGCTTGTCCGTGCCTTGACCAGCAACGTGTTGTTTATACTACGCATAAGCTCAGTTTCCGTGTGAGCATCTAGAGCTGAATGTCTGAAAATCGCGGGTCAAGGAATATCCTAAATGCAAATCAGGCACATGGAAGCTCACAGCCTCATCAAAGAAAAGGATCGAAGGATCTTTAAGCAAACACACGTGCAATTGCCAACCGCTGCTTTTCCCCCTCCAGAAATCATTAAACCTCTCTCGCCGACCGTGGTCTTGTAGCCTTCGGGAAGACCCATGACCGTGTCATGAACGCTTGCTTTCATTGCAGCCGCTTTTACCTCGTCGTCCGTGGCATCAAGGCGGCCATACCGCACATTGTGCATGATATCAGAATGGAACAGCGGCGTATCCTGTGGAACTACACCAATAGATTCCCGGAGACTCTGCACCTGGACGTCGTGAATGTCCTGGTCATCTATGAAAATCCGACCGGAAGATGGATCGTAGAAACGGTACAGGAGACGGAAGACCGTAGACTTCCCGCATCCGGACGGACCAACTATAGCCACTTTTTTACCCGCCGGAACAGTGAAGGACAAGTTGCGGAAGATGGGCCGATCTGGATGATAGCCGAAGTTCACGTTCTCAAAACGAATAGAACCGCCTTTCAGTGCCAGCGGTTTTGCGTTCTCTTTATCCTTTCCCAGGAAATCATGTCGGTAAAAACTTGTGACGAAGCAGCCTAGAACGTACCTTGGCGGGAGCATTGTCAGTTTGAAGATTGAACAATACTTCCATATCCAAGAGGTTTTGGCGTAGCTCGCGATAGATACTACCCAAGAAATTCAAGGGAAGTGACAGCTGGAAAATTAGTTGGTTCGCCATGACGAGGTCACCAACAGTCATGGTCCCTGATCAAAGCTTGTCTAAGACTAAAGATGCGTTATGAAAGTTCAGCCAAACATACCTTTCATGACTCCTTGTGCGGCAAGGAACATTGTGGCTGTTAACGCCGTGGAAAAAATTACATTCTGGCCGGAATTCAGATACGCCAAAGATGTGGTGATCTTCACGGAAGATTTTTCGTATTGTTTGAGATGTTTATCGTACTGTGCAATCTCAAATTTCTCGTTGTTGAAATGCTGCAACGGAGTTTACGCAAAAAGATGATAACATGTAACAGAGAGATACCTTAACTGCCTCATAATTGATGAGCGAGTCAATTGCTACGGTCGCAGCTTTATTGTCCGCTTTGTTTGCATCGCGACGAAATTGAGTTCTGAAGAAATTGAGTAAATTAGCCGGATAAGATAGATGACACTGACCTCCATGAGGTTGTGCGAACGGTGAACCAAGTGTATGCAGCTAAAGCAGTGACAGTGATTGCGGCAAAATCCCAGCCAAATTTCCAAGTCTATTTCAGTGGTGGGTAAGAAAGAAAACTGAATCGGATCTTTGCTCACAAGTATTCCACAAACCATGGATATCTCCAGGGCAGTCGGGAAGATGCGGAAAATGATGGCCTGGAGCATGAACGTGATACCCCTGAGATGCGAGATTCAAAAGTTGTATCACATTGTTGAAATGCGACATACTTGGTACCGCGGTCGATCGCACGTGTAAGTCCACCAGTTTGTCGTGCGAGATGGAACTTGAGATCCAGGTTCAAGAGATGCTCAAAGGTCTCCCTAGCAACTCTGCGAACCGCTTGTTGACCAATATTGGCAAAGACAACGTTCAATAGCTCT